CGCTGTCAATCGCTTACATCAATAGCGATAAGGCGGAGGAACTGATTGACAGTCATTTGCTTCAAATGAAACCGTTTCCTTTGGGAGGCTTCTTGCGAGCGCTCGAACAGAGACCCGATCTCGAGGACAGACTCGTCACTATTGCCAATAAGTTGATCACCGAATCTGACTTTCATTTGCCTCTGAATATGGTTTGGATTAATTGCATGAAAAAGGGGCGCTTCGACGACGCGAAACGCATTTACGAGTCGTGTCCTAAACTCAAAGATTTCCTCCTTTTCTCCTCGTTATTGGATTTGGTTCGCGAATCAAAGAATATAGTTTTGGCTAAGAATCTGATTGAAACGGTTTCCAATTCAAACCTAACACCAAAATCCATCGGAATTGTCTACTCGGCTCTCATTGACACTTATGTAGAAACCAATGAAATCAGTGTCGCTGAAGATGTTGTGGTCAACGAAGTGGTCAACTCGAAGACCAGAGCGGACCCAAAGTCTGAAGCGAAAGTCAAACTCTTAGGTGTGGAGCATTTGAATCGGGGAACTATTACTCGACTCACAAAAGCTATTCGTGAAAAAGCGAAAAGAGAGCCTAAGTTTTCGGCGCCGACTACTAATAGATGGTCAGCAAACAAGTCCTCTAATGATAGTCTCAACAGTGATAGCAGTAGTGATGACGAAATGGTAGACATAAAGAATAAATAATTATATAATCATTCGTATTCCTAATCAATCATATATTAATTAAATAAATGTTTAGTGTTTGTAGTTTTGTTTTGACTTTTAATTTCTCACTTAAGTGTTGAAACAATTTATTAAATTTATATATCGTATAATTGTTGTAAAACTTTATTTTACGTTATAATCTATAACAAAATTGAGTCAAACAATGGTTGATAAAAATAAACGCTAGAATTTTTAAACTAATCGCTAATATTATGTATACATTAGCCATCGTTTGTGTCAAATTGTTGCCGAATTAGATTCCAATACAAACGCTTATCTTTGATGAGTTGTGAATGAGTTCCCATTTCTGCTATCCTTCCCTTTGATATAACAACAATCGTATCGGCGTTTTGTATTGTACTCAGCCGGTGGGCGATTACCAGCACTGATGACAATAAGTAATTATGAGAACTAACATCTTGTACTGTATAGTGAGGCTAACAATCGCTTACCGGTTCTATTGACCATCACTTTCTCTAAGGCCTCCTGAACTAGTCGTTCAGAGTCGGCGTCCAAAGCAGAG